TTATTAATTTAAATTAATAAAATAAAATATTAAATAATTTCTAAAAAATTTTAAAAAAATTATAAACTTAATATATATATTAAAAACTCTTAATTTGAATTTAATATATAAATTAAAAAAATTTAATTTAATAATTAAATAGTTAAAAATTTAAAATAAAATATAAATTATTGAGTGAAATAAATTAGGAAAATAATTGTATGACTGTATGATTGGAAGTTATGGAGCATGAATCCGCTCCTCTGTTGTTTTTCCGATAGTTCGTCAAATCAGGCCCTCAATAGGCTCAATTATATCATTGGACTAAAAAATAGATAATCTCAATTATGTCGATTTACGATGACCCATAATCATCCATTTCAATTGGATAATCCCATCATAATCTCTCACACCTCCTATGGCTAAAGGAGTTATCAATGGCCCACACACGAAAGCACTTAATACGGTTAAGTGAATCACAGTTGGCATTATTATTGTTGCCAAACACACAAATAGCAGTTATCACAGCACATTTAGTTTTCACATGTTCGTTGTCAAGTTGGACAACAATAGGTTATTATGAAGGCAGGTACCTACCCTAGACCATCATCAACATTTGTCCATATTAAGATTGAGATTTTTAATTTTAAAAATAGTCTTTTCTCATTATTATTATTAGAACAGTCAATGTGTCAATTCTTTTTTAGAAATCCTTGTGATTTATATTATTTTGATTTTGTTAATTTTTATTGCGGGTTTTGGTCTAATTTTTTTCACTTAATTTGTAATTTTTTTTATATTTATTGAATATATTATAAATGATTGATACGTGTCAATGTTATTGAGATATTTTGATTTTATAGTGATATATATTTGCATGTCTCACCTTTATTAAAAAAAATATTAATTTTTATATAAGAATACTTGTTTGTATAAGTAATGTTCTTAATATTTCTTAAATAATTGTAGTACTTATTTTAATTAAATTCATAAATATTATATTTTTAAAGAAAAATTATTAAAATTCTTAAATCTCATTTGATATTGTAGGGCTTCAAAAGTAAGTTAAACAACTTCACCAAAATTATAATATTAGAGTTAGAGATGCTATTAGACATAAAAGTATAATGAGATTTTAAATGATCTTATGTATAAATAATTTTAAAAACAAGTGTGTATTGAAAACAATTAAAACATGAAATTTGTAGGATAGAACATTTAAATAATATTTTGATAAAGACTCGACAATAAGTGATCTTAAAAATTCTAACAACAATAATTAATAGGGTAGGTTTAAGTACATCTAAGAATGTAGACCTGTGTCTAATTAAATTTTACAAAATTGATTTATAAATAGTGATATTCAAATGTGGTAAGAAACACAATAAAAATCTATCTTAATTTATAGATGACCTATTTTTTCAAATAATTTAGGATAAGTGAAATTTGTATTTTTTCTAATCTACTTTCTCATGTTCAATATTATTAAATTTAGTGCATGTATAAATAAATAATAAATAATCATATTTTCAATGAATTTAAGATGACTCTATCGATACCATCTTAAAATATATTTATATTTAACTAAATTTTATAAAATTAATGACTTTCTAATATATTTTTTCATGTTCAACATTACTAATTTTAATATGTATAAATAAATAGCATGTATTCTTTTTCAATGAATTTAGTGTGTGTTTTGCATTGGAGTCGAAACATGATTTTTCACATTTAATTAGAAGTAACAAATAATAGTTTGCCCCCTAAAATCACTATTGGAGAGAGAAGAAAAAATTATTTTACAAAATGGAAACCAAACACGCACGTAGAATGACTATCGATATCATCTTAAAATATGTTTATTTCTGACTAAATTTTATAAAATTATCTGCTCTCCACTGTGAAATCTCTAACTTCTAATTAAGTAAACTTTTATAGTAATTTTAGAAAGAGTGAATGGTCTTACGGTATATATTCTGGCCCATTATTACTACTTCGGTTGAAACTTTTCCCGTATCATTATTTTGTTCATGAATGGATATATCTAACCCCTTGGCTTTGCATCTTAGTATTTTTCTGTTTCATATTGATTGTCAGTATTGAAGAGAATTAGAAAGTCCCAAGAGGAATCTTCGGGCTGGAAACCAACATTATTTATGGGACCCGTAAATCTAGGACCTTAAAATTTTAAAAGTATTAGTATTGTATCTTAGTATTTCTTTGTTCCATATTTTTTTGCCAGTAAAGAAACCCTTACGAAGAATCTTGGGGTTGGAAATCAACATCACCCCCTAGATCTAGGTCTCCAAAATTTAAATCTCGGAGCCCACAACCCCACACGACCTGGATTCATCTCAATTATTCGTTATCTTCCCCGAAACTCTAAATTCTCTATAATCTAAAATAACCAAACAATATCTTAATTAACCTTCTTGGTCCCCAAGGTAACCTCGTGAGCTAGCTAGCGGTACCCCAATGCGAGACACACTCTCTTAAAACAAATCCCACTACCTCACTTCGTCCAAATAAACTAATAAAAAAAAGCAAGAATAAAATTAGATCGCACAAGAACCAACTTAATAAAAGAATTCAGATAATGCTAGGGCAAATATAATACAACGTGAAACATGAAGAACATGTTAATTAATAGTTCCTATTCCCCCTTCAGTGGTGACGGTGATGCACGCACTCAGCAGGTGTCACGGGGAACCTAGCAGTGTCGGAGCAATAGTCATAAACCATATGGTTAGCCCTAACCCACATAAGCTGGTGGCTCTGGTGCAATGTGAGTTCCGACAACGTGGGTTCGTCCCACCAATACTTCTTATCCTCACTGCTGCTACATTTCTTAGCGTTATCCTCTGATGCCACTGGCACGTGGCACTCGCACGCATCGATTTCGAAGTCCTTGTAGGTCGCAATGAATGGCGCATGGCTCCAATCTGTCTTCACACGACCACCCTGTGTGGCCCAATCATCTGCGTTCCATATAGAACTGTACACCCCCATGGCTTGGTCCTTTGGGTAGGGAATGCCTTTGTGTTCCAAATTTGTGTGCACCCTTATTGGCGTCTCATCCACTAGGAATCTGTACATTCAGATATTTTAGTAAATGTTACAATTTTTCACTTGTACTGAAAAATACACGTACCATTTATTTAAACATAAAATACAATGCGCATGGTGTATACACTGGTGTTTGGTTATAATTTGTCCAAGGGTGGAAATAGACATGTCTCACTCTCGGTAAGAATTAAGATTGCTTTTGCTTTTGGATTTTACCATGGGCTTGTCTTTATAATTTTATGGGACCCAACGAGGCACAAATGATAGCACAAGCTCAACTGACAAAAGCATGCAATTTCGTGTTTTCTTGACAGCTTTTCGGGTTCATGTAAAAAGAGTCCATGTTCACAAATTTTACTTACTTCAATGCACTTTATAAAAGTTTTTATACTGTGAACTGAGTAAATTATGTAAAATTCAGTAATTTAATATTACTATATGATATGTGATTACATAAGATTTGATACTCACACAACTTGGCGCTGGTTCCAGAAGATGGAATAGGTGTGGAAGTCCTTGGTGGGGTCGAACCAGAGGTTGAGTCTCTGCTCCCTGTTACCTACTCCATTCACGTACACGTTCGTTTGGACCGAGTAAGGTTCACCAGTGGTGTTGCCCAGGAACTCAAAATCAAACTCGTTGTGACTTGGGCCGTCTGATGACATCTGCATCACACAAATTGAAAATGAACATCAACGTCTTAGTCATTTAATATACCATCAATTATTGGACTAGGGTCACCATCCCTTGTCAAGGTCATAAATATAGGTCAATACAAAGTGGAATAAATTGCACAGGATTGTTAGGTTGATCAATGTCAAAATGAAGGGATCTCATTGTAGTTTAAAATATGAATCTTAAATAATTCTAAATCCTCTCTTTATAATGCTTCTTATTTTTAAATATGTCCACTGTTAGATTTAATATTTATTAAAAAGATATTATGAGAATTTGCAAGAGGATAGAATGATAGTAAGGTATAAAGCTATACTTAAAAAATAGGTTCGTGGCTCAAAATATGGAGACAGATATACAGAGACAATAAATGCAAGAATCAATTGTATGTGCAAATTCACGGGTTGAAATGAAGTAGGTAGCTGTCACTAATGCCTCTGGTATAAGTCAATTCAAAGAGTTGTCTGCACTTGAACAAATTTGTACTTAAATAAATACAACAAAAAAAAAAAAATTTCACTTACATAGAAAGCAGTAACAGTTCCAGCAGAGTCACCCTCCACAAGCTTGAGCTGGATGGTCACTTTCCCAAACATATACTTGCTCTTGGATCCAAATCCAGCACCTGCAATGTCCCAAAAAAGCCACATTTTTTTAACATAAATTAACAAAAATAACATTTTGCAATGATATTAAATGAGCTATTTAGAATCAGATCTAACAAAAAACAGTCTAAAATTAGACATGATGGCATTCAGTTTTGAGAGATCTCTAACAATAACATTACTGAAAAGGGTTTCAAAGGAAAGAACATTATACAAAGCAGTAAATGGCAAATTACCAGAATAGTTATCAAGCTTAAGCTTGAGGAGTTCTCCTTCATGGATGAAATGGTCCATAGCCCAACCGGGCTGAAAGAGTTCATCAAACTTGGCAGAGGCAGCCAAGCCCACCAACAAAAAACCCACCAACAACCCCAACATTTTAGCCATTAGCAACAATAGAGAAAAGAAAATAATAAAAAAGGGGATGAATTTTATGCAAGTGAGAAGTGAAGTGAAGTGAAGCGAAGCTTCTAAAATGGTCTCAGTGTGATGGCTCACAAGATAGGCCTGTGGACATTGGGTATTATTTATAGCCACATTCATTCACTCCACGTAACGAAGGCGTGTGCCATGTCACGTGCCACGTCCGGGTTTCAAATTCCGAGGAATGGACAAAACATAAATTGATGTGAGATTAAAAAATATAGCCGTTACTGTGGCAGTGACACAGCTGGCAAAAGCTGTTGACAGGGAGTGGGTACCACTGCATCTAAAAAGAATGATGGCAGATCAAGGCCAATAGAATATCGCCACGTGGACGATGCCAGCTGGTTCTCTCAACTGAACAGTTGTCATCCGCTGTATGAGCATAAAAATCTCGTGCTTTTCCCCCCCACCCGTTCAGTCCCCCATCCCTTCAAACATGGAGGGGTTCTCTCACTAAATTTTATTTATGCAGGTTTGTCAAAGCTAAACTAATTGATGATAATATACTAGTTGTACCCAAATTTGCAACTCAATGAAATGTTACGTGTACAATTATGAATTAAATTGTAAAACCATTTTAAATGTGTGAAGGTAAAATTCGTGATATTTTGTGATCGAATATTAAATAGTAGTAATAACAATCCTTGATTCCTGAGTGCTTTTAAAATTGGAGTGCGATATCTACTTTGTTAGACATTTTTGCTTTTGTTGACAGCATTTCCAGCTGGACAGTGCAAAGCGCAATTATACAAAGGGACTAGGGAGTAGGGACCCATTCATCTTTTTCATATTCATTCATCAATTGCCTCTTCAAGGTATTATGGACTTAATAGTACTGGAGTATTTTTTTTGTCTTGAGATCTGTGCACTGTGTTTATTGGAAATCTACATTATGCTCACTTGAGGATATACATGTTACAAAAACTACAGTGTTTTATCCAAGGAAATGGGTTTAAATTTTTACCTTCTTACAAATATGCTCTTTTCCCTCATATTAGAACTTAGAAGATTTGTTTAGGGTATGATTGATTTCACAGCAAATATGTCTTGAAGCAATTTTATTGTATTAAAATAATTAGAAATATATTTGTAGCTTGTTTTATTATTAAAAAATTTGATTTTAAGATTTAAAAATTTACATTTACATGAAAATAACTATTGATGTTTTTTTTTTTATTAAACAAAATCATTTTTGAAGTTTCATTTATCCATATTTAATTATACATTCAAAATTAATTTTGATAAAAAAAAATTTAAATAACATTTAATATGAAAATTAAGGCCATTTAAATAAAAATCACGTTACTTTAATTTAATTTTACTTAAAATCAATTATGTAAATTCACTTTGATGCAAAATCAATTATATCAACACATGTTCAAACAGTACACTCTTAGAATACTTCATGTATTAATTATTAATTTAATATTATAAAATTCTTTAATTATAAGTATTTAAGGATTTTTTTTTATATAATAATGTTAGTAAAAGTCAAGCTTAAATATCTATATATCCATTTTAATTTTTATTATTATAATGATTCTAGTAGTTTAGTCATTTTTAATTTAATGATTGAAGAATTTTATGGGAATGCTTAGGAATTTATCTTTGTTTGAAGGGTATTTAGAAATTTTAATTTTAATTTTTCAATAAAAATTAAAATAATAATATATTGAGAATAAGAAAGATGAAAAGAATTAAAATTAGTAAAAATATTTTTTTGTTTTAAAATAAGAGTATATCTTATTAAAGTTGGGGAAAATTTAGAAAAAGAATCAAAATTTAGGATAAATTTAATATTATTAATTAAATTAACTAATTTTATTATCTCTATAGAATTAGTTAAAATTTTTATAAACCAGTGTATGCAATTTTTTTGTTTTAAATTTTGGTATTATTTTATATGGTTGTGATATTTAAATTTTTAATCGTTGGTTATTCCATTACAAAAAAAAATTTAAAAAAATACTTGCGTTACTTGACCATATATTATATATCACGTGACAATTATATTTTATATTATGAAAATGGATACGCCACAACATCGGATAGAGCCATGTATGCCTTTTAATAATAGACATCGACTATAAAATGGAAAGCAAAAAATATAGATATTATAAAAATTAAAAATAGATGAAATAAAAAGTAAAACTTAGTATGATTAATTATGGGGATGAAATTAATATTTGTGGAGAAAAGAGAGATTGGAAGATGGTTGAATACTGACAATAAAAAACTCATACTTTTTGAAATAGTGAAGTAATATCATTAAATTAAAGAGTGCAAACGAAAATATAAGAATATGAACACAAAGTATTTTTATATTAATTTATCTCAATCATCGATATTACATCTAGTTCTTTTTCAATCAAATTAAGTTCGACTATCTTATACAAATATACAAATATTCTTTTCTCAAGTTATTGTTAGCTTAAACCTAAGTGTTTTTTGACAACCAAGTATTCTTTAACACAAAGTCTCTCTAGACTTTAACAACTAATTATTCTTTTACGGTTAAACCTTTTTAAACTTAAAGCAATAACACTAAGTTATAGTTGGGTAAAATAACAGTATTGTTTCATCTTACTTTCAAGATGTGATACAACAATATATTATAAAGTTAATATACATAAAGAATGAACATGAATATGTTCAAATGAAAAATAACAACTTTTTTTTTTCATTCTAAATCATCATGCTTTCTTGTATTGATGTTTCAATGAAGACGACCATACAAATCTTTGAGCATTTCTTACAAACTTATTTCGTCTGTCTTTATCTTCATTCCTTATGGAAAGAAGTATTCGCTAGTGCATTAAATACATTTTACCAAATTGTCACTTCTTATCTGATTAAGAAGGTTACTTATCATCTTTAGGTACCAAACAGGCAGAACCATGTGTGTTAGGTTACAACAATTCTAAAAACCTTATTTTGGCATTTTTTGTGATTAAGGGGATTTGCTTGCCTTTTTTGACATAAAACATGTCTTTAGTTCCTTTTAGTCGAATGTGAGTATTGAGGAAGTTGTTTCATTCAATCTGTTAAGAAATCATATAGACACAAATAATTATGTTATTAATTAAACATCATAAATGATATGAAATTAAAATGTGTGTCTTTAATGTTGAGTACTTCATCTTGCTATATAACTTACTTATTTTAGTGTCTCATTCATCTTAGTGTTTTATTCACGATGGCGATGTGAAGATCTTCTTCAGCCTCTTCTTGTTAGAAAGTCAAGGAGAAGGATACAACATAGTATCCATTATTTCTAGAGTGGTGACCTCCTCCCAGTTGGTGAAGTAGATCACACCTTCTTCTTTGTAATAAGAGATTGTTACAATGGTGATAAGATGAATCCTATCATAGTGTATAGTCCACTTGTCTTGCTATGGCGTGTGCTTTCACCCTTGTAGACGCCTAGACATAGGCATAGGGAGCATGAAACCAGTCATATTAAAGCTCAACGAAGCTTGTCCATCTAGTCCTATCCAGGTAGTGCTTTACTTAATACCCTTCATTTTATAATTGTTGAATTGCAATGCTTTTTCCATATAGAAAAATGATCTTAGGGTATTCCTCCATTGAGACTTTAGTTTTGCTAGTTGTTTGAGTCCTTGGGTGTCAATTGGGAGATTAAGGTTTCTATTTGGAAGAGGAAGACGGAGGTTTAAGGGAGAAATAAATAGGTTAATGAAAGTTTTATAAACGATCAAGTGTTTGAATGCTTGTGGGTAAGGTGATTTTTGTTTTCCTAAAATGAGTTAGGTGAGGTGAAAGGACAAGCAGGGAGAAGAAAAAATTGTTGATGTGACACACTACTGACCATCCCATTGTTCCACACATTCCTTTATCAAACTCCGTTTCGTAATCATTTGAAAAACATTTATGAGAATTTGATACAAAAAGATACCTTTTTAGAAGAAAATCGATATGATAGAAAGCATATAATAATAAAATAATATGCATTAGATTAGCAAGTCAAATAAAGCAAATATATCCACGTAAGTGTAAAATGATGCATGATAGATAAAACATACATAAATGTAAGACGATGTTAAAGAAAACTTAATTTGATATGCATTTTAGATGCAAATGATCTCTAATATGATGAATATTCTCTTTCTTTTTAATAGACTTCTAGTGTTATCTCACCAATATTGAGCTTAAAGACAACATAAGATACTTTTTGGTTATTAGAATAATTCATAGCATGAAATATCTCTTCCATTTCTTTAATCCATAAATCAGTTTTCTCTAGATTGTACTCCCATCAAATTGTGAAGGTTTATTTCTTCTAAACTCAATTTCAAGAGGTCTTTCAATTCTTTGATTTCCTTATCTTAACACAGTTGCAACCATGTCCTTAATAACTTGCACAACTTTTGTCAATTTAGTATTTCTTATACCATTTGTCATATAAAATTTTACAAGAGGTCACACATAGAACATTACTTTGATACCATCTAATTGTAACACCCTTATTAAAATAATGAGCTATATTTATTTAATTATTATTTATAAAAAGGTTCTAGCCAACAAATGAAACTAATTAAATAGAACATTCTATAATACTGAAATGCATTAATTAAGTTAAAGAAAAAACTAGTTTATTATCTATATAATATATACAATTCATTTCAAGTCAATTCTACTAAATTTTTTTACTCAACTGTTTAGAAGAGAGAAAAATGGGTTTATTTTATTTAATTAGAAGAAAATTTTTAAATAAAGTATTTACAAACAAAAATTAACATACTAAAATAAATTAAAGAAGATATAAAAACAACACATATAAGATGATAAAAAAAATAAAAATGATAAAATAATATATTAATAATACATCAAATAAATAAATAAGACAAAATTATGAATACCTTTTATATATATATATATATATATATATATATATATATATATATTAAAGAGCATAATAAGATATTTTCTCTCTTTATATTAAAACATGATGTAGAGTTCACTTTGTTTTTTTTTATAATAATTTTACTGATAGTAGGATCGTGTTAAAATAATTTAAGACCTAAGACAAAATTTTCAAAAAAAACCTAATAATATAGTATTAGTTATTA